TAAAGGTAAGGGCCCTCCATAAGAAATTCGATGTTGTTTAAATGAGGACAAGACTGTGTACATGTAAAGCGCTACAGTGAGCATGCACTGTCGAATGGGACCGGTGAGGGTGACCCAGCTCTGTCCTCCAGGGCAGCAGTGTGGCCAGTGAAAACGGTCAGGTGCAAAGGTTGAAAAGAGCCTTTTTTCCTCCTCCCACGGAGGGGAAATGGGTTTAGCTAAGCCAGTGATTCTTAGCCTTGGCGACACATTGTTATCACCTGGGAAGCTTTAGAAGCGCTGCCCGCCTGGCCCCAGGGGTTCTGGGTGATGTGGTTAGGAGCCCCGCCCAGGCTAAGTAAAGATGAACTTCTGGGGCCAGATGGGACAGGGCGGGAGAGAAAGCACGAGGGGGAGGGGCTTGTGTCAGGGAAACAAATGGAGCAACGAGGAAGATGTGACCTCTGTGCCCCAAACATAAGACCCAGGCGCTGGAGACAGGAGCAGGAGGGAGCCCCTGCCCCACAGTGGGCAACCTGCAGACACCGCTGGCCAGGCCTGAGACATGCAGTCGGGGTGACAACACTTCCTGCATCCTAGGCCTCTGCCTTCATCCCAGGAGCTGCTCTCGAGGTGGCGCGGACAGGAAAGGTGCGGCTGACAGGTCCGCTGGCCTTCCTGACCGCTGGAGGCGGGAAGCATGGCCACCTGGAAACGGTCTGTTGCATCTCCAAACACAAAGTCAGAGACTGAAAATGCATTACTATTTTATTAGCAACTCTTAAAAGCTCCTGCCGTGGTGTGAGTTACAGCAGATACCACTAGTTTTATGTATTTATTTTATGTGTTTAGCACTTAATTCCACTAGCTTGCATTACAAGGCACTCAACTGTTAACACTTTGTTACTGTGTTATCTTCTTCCACATTAATCAGACTTTATTGATTAGTCACAGCCGGGACTTCTAGGGAGCGGTGGTCTTGTTTCCCACAACTCCCCTCGTTTTTCAGTGTTACTTGTCCATCTTTGTTACGGTAGGTTTGGCTTCCATGTTACATCCTCCTTCATTTCCAGTCTTTCATAAGTGTTTTTTCTATGGTTTCTCAGAGTTCTTACATATTATTCTACTGTTACCAATTCAAGATTCATGTGCCCATTGCTTAAAAAAAAAAAAAGGCCAATATTCAAAATGTCAAGAGTTTGGAGTAAGGAGAGGATTACTGATCCAGAAGGTGTCAGCTAGAGAAAACTGGACACAGCGATGGGGGGCCGGGCATAAAGCTTCTGCAAATCTATCTTAAAGACCTAGAATTCAAGTGTCTTTAATGTGGAGAAAAGGGAGGAGGCTCCGGCCAAGAGGTATGGCCCAGAGGTACGAGACACTCAGATGCCAACAGGGATCCAAGAAGAGCGGGTCTCTCTGTTCTCCAGTCTGTTGACCCCAGCAGATCTAAATCTGGTCTCGAGACTCCTGCAGATTTTTGCCAAAAGCTCAAGCCTCAAGCAGAATTCCCCTAATAATTATCGATAGCAGAAGCTATTCGCTTGAAGGCCACAAGAAGAATGCAGGCTACAATTAAGATAGAGACAGAGAGAGGAGCATTTCACTGTTACACAACCACTTCATACTTCTTAAAATATTAAAACATAAGGTTATTTGAGTCAGGAAAATAGAAAACACCATTATTATAAATACATACTTTTATGCTCTGTATTAAGTCCAAAATTGGTAGCATATTGAATATTACTTCATGTAGAAATTCTAAGCTTAGCTTTTCAAAGACTAAACAAAAACTCAGAAACATGCACAGACCTTCTCATCAAGAGTCACCACCTGTGTCGACCTGGGTGCTCCCAGAAGCAGCTGGTGGAGTTGGGAGTTAGTAGATGCAGAGTGGGAGTTAGGAGGGAGAAGTTTATTGGGGTACACTAACTATGAAAGATAAAGAGGGAGGAGGCAGAACTGGGCAAGGAAAGCCCTCATTGTGCCACGCAGACCCACGCCCATGAAAACAGAGGGTTGGAAGAAAAAGAGGGCAGGGAATGCCTCAGACCACAGGGCAAATTATTCGAAGTCTTGGGCAACCCAGTGGGCAGTGGAGCAAAGTCGCCCGTTCGAGAGTCCTCCATTGGGCTGAAATGGTGGGTGCTGGTGTCTCCACCACGTTCAGTCCTGGGCTGGAGAGCTGCCTGGGAAAAGTGTGAAGCTGGCTCGAACTCCGCAGCTGGAGGCCATCAGCCAAAAGCATTCTCTCAGCTCCAGCACTTCACAAGTTCGTTCCTGCTCTCTGCAGCCGCCACACCCTGACATCTCCTGACAATGTAAACCTTTGTAAACGAACAGACACAGCTTCATTAAGGTGACTAAATACTTCTCTTGTCGACCTGCCATGATCAAATGAACGCCATGCCCAGCTGAACTGTGGAGGAAATGCAATTAAACATTTAATGCAAGGATACAATTGATTGACAGTGACGGGTACAACCCTGGGTCACTTTTTTCTTTCTGCTTTTCTCTGTATTCCAAATTTTAAACAAATGATCATTTATTTTCCTTTTGATTGGAAAATTTTATAATGGATATGCTACAATCTGTCTCCACATCATACCTTTTTGATCCAAAATGGTATTTTCGCCCTGGCTGGCGTAGCTCAGTGGATTGAGCTCGGGCTGCGAACCAAAGCTTCACAGGTTCGATTCCCAGTCAGAGCACATGCCTGGGTTGTGGGCCACGTGAGAGGCAACCACACATTAATGTTTCTCTCTCTCTCTTTCTCCCTCCCTTCCCTCTCTAAAAATTAATAAATAAATCTTTAAAAAAATAAATATTAGAAAAATGGTATTTTCTAATTTGGTGGCGCAGTTGCTTCAGGGTAAGAGAACATGGTAATAGACCAAGCACAGGCTTTGAGCTCAAGCGGATCTGAGCTTGAACCCTGGCCCTGTGACTGGAATGGGGCCCTGACAGGCTCCTACCCTCTCTCCATCTCAGTCCCCTCGTCTGGAAAGGAAGACACCTGTCCTCACTTCTCAGCTTTGCTTTTTCAGAAGGTGCTGTGTGTCTATGCCTTATAGTGGCCAGGGCAACACATAGCATAAAACCAGTCCACTCTGATGCCCCTCCAAAACTGCTGGAAGTTTCTAAAAATAAAATCCACATTCAAAGGACAATGAGCAGCCTTAGCTGGGGAATTTCAAAATAAGGTCCTAAGGAAAGTCCCAAAACCAAATTCTAAAAATCTCCTTGGCAGCAATTCCACCTCTAGGCAGATATGTGTATACCCGTGTCCACAGCAGCATAGCTGCAAGAGCCGAAAGGTAGAAACAACCCATTTGCTCATCCATGGATGGATGAGTGGGTAAGCAAAATGCACTGTATACATAGTGTAGACTGCTCTTCAGTCTTAAAAAGGAAGGAAATTCCGACACATGCTACAACATGGGAGAACTTAGAAGACATTATGCTAAGTGAATAAGGCAGACGCAAAAGGACAAACACAATTCCACCTTTATGAAGTATCTAAACAGTCAAAGTCATAGAGAAAGAGAGTAGACTAGACATTGCAGGGGCTGGGGGAGGGAGAGGCAGGTTTAATGGGGACAGAGTTTCACTCTGGGAGGATGAAAAAGCCTTGGAGATGGATGTGGTGATGGCTGCACACCAATGTGAGTGTATTTAATGGAACTGATTGTATACTTAAAAATGGTAAAATGGTAAATGCTATGTGTATTTTACCACAATAAAAAATGTAAGCAATTTTTAGAAGCCTCCTTGGCAATATGGTATCACCACTTTGTAGAGAGCAAAGTCGAGCACCCAGCAGGCGTGTTGCGCGGTGCGAAGTGGCACAGACCTGGTGCAGTTCACTGCACTTCTCGTAGCTTGTACTTGTAAAAATAATTACAGCACAGGAAATTTTGAAAATAAAGAAAAACTCATGACCCCATTTTTATTCTTGTATTATTATTCATTATTGTATAATTTTTCTTTTTTATTATTTTCAATTACAGTTGTCCCAATTTTTCCCCAGTTGCTCTCCCCTGCCCCACCCACCCCCCATCCCACAGTTAAGCCCCGCCCTGTTGTCCATGTGCATGGGTCCTTGATACCCATTCCTTGACTTGAGCCTTCCCTTTCTTTCCCCCATTATCCCCCTCCCCCCTCCCATCTGGTCACTGCCAGTTTGTTCCTTATTTCCTTGTCTCTGGTTTCATTTGGCTTATTTGTTTTGTAGCCATAGTGTTTGGACACCATGGGCTCTGAAGACGAATTCCAGAAATGGCTTCCAGAAACCCCACTGGCAATTCACAGAGCAAGATGGACACCCTAATTTCTCCTGGGCGGTAGCCGTGCATCCCCCGGGGTGGGAAGTGTCCATACCTCTGGCACGTGTAAAGGTAGAGCTGTGGGCCCAGTGTGGGCAGGGGAGGGGGGCTGGAAGAATGAAGGCTAATGGCTGAGTTTCCTCTATAGTGGCAACAGGTCATAGGTGCACACTCACATACCGCCCTCCTTGCCTCCTCATGCCCAGATTCTGTTACTGTACCCGTGGCTCTGTTTTGGGTTGAAGTCCAAAAGGAAAAAGGAACTGATTGCTGAGGCAGGCCCAGGCCTGGACAGAACAATCTGGCTGATGACTGGGACCCTCTGCAGGGACCGCAGGACCAAGTGGTGAGGGGGAATGAGGTGGAACCACGGCCTCCTCTCCAGCTTGACTCCCACCAGGGCAGCAGAGCCTAAGACTGGGGCCGACGCCGCCAGCGCCGAGGCTCCCCGCAACCATGACCGTAAGCAAGTGACTTCCTTTCTCTGAGCCTCAATTTCCTCAGCTTTAAAACGTGTCTAGTATTCCTACCACTTGAAGGTGCTGAGGCCTGAGAGAGAATCCACGTAAAGTGCTTGGCACAAAGGACGTGCTCACGATGTGAACGCCCTTCCAGTCACAACCCCACCCCCCCACTCCGCCCCCACCGAGGCTGGGAAGCAACTGCAGCGATCCAGCCTCTGAACAAACACTGAGGACACTTCCACTACGAACTCGGCTGTGAGGAGAGCAGGGAAATTATTTTAAAATTAGGAAGAAATACTTGAAAGACTCAATAAAAGGTTTACGTAAGTATTTTCCCAAACCAGATTATTAGTCAATTCTTAACAAATTGACCGGGTTAGAAGAACAGATTCTCAAAATAGCTTCAGAGAGCCTCTTGACACAAAAATCTGTTGAATCACATGTATCATTCTGATTAAAAACTTACTTTTAGTCTCCAATCCTATGAAAGAAAACAGGTATATCAGTTAATGCAACACGACTTGCCATAACATATAAATCCCAGAATGTCAGTGGCTTAACACTATAGAGATTTACCTCTCACTACAGATCATTTCAGTGTTCCTGATGGACAGGCAGCTTTCCTTCACGCGGTGACTCAGAAACTGAAGCTCTTTCAACCTTCCTGCACTGCCATCCCATCCCCTGGGGCCTCCTTACAGCCAGTGGAAGGACAACAAAAAGTGGAGAAGCTTTGTTGCTTCTTCAAAGTCGACCCAGGAACAGCACACATCACTTCCACCCACTTGTCCCTGATGGGCACTGACCACACGGCCACAGTGAGGCAAGACTGGGAGAAAATATCTGCAAAAATATATATTTGACAGAGTTCTACAATGTTTTCATGTCTCAAATATAAAAAGAATATATAGTATACACATATAAACAAACATATATTACATATATTAATATATCCAGGATATATATCTAGAATATATATACAGCTAGAATTTAAACCCGGAATATATAAAGACTGTACAAAGAACTCAATAATAAGACAATCAACTGAGTTAGAAAATAGGCAAAAGATTGGAACAGACAGCTCACCCAACAAGACACACAGATAGCAAATAAGCACGTAAAGAGATGCTCGATGGCATCGGTCATTAGAGAGGTTCACATTAAAACCACCATTAGATCCCAGTCTACCCCACCAGCGTGGCTCGGATTTGACAGACTGCGTGCCCAAGTATTGGCCCGGCTGTGGAGTGACGGGCACTCGCACGGCTGGTGAGGGTGTGCAGTGACTGCCTGTTGGGAAAGCAGCCTGCAAGTTTTCCTGCACATAAGATGTTAAGCCTTTTTAAGTTACATGTACCAACTGGTCCCAACTATTTCAGAATATACATTTTTTGCAAATACATGGAACATTGAAGAAATTTAGTTACATTCACGTCTCAGCAAATTTCAAAGGATTGCCATCCTACAGGCCACTTTTTCTGACCACCATACAATTCAATGTGAAGTCAGTTACAAACAGAAAAATAGAAAAAAAATCTATGCATTCAGAAATTAAGAGGCACATTTGTTTAAAGTAATGGGTTAAATGGTAAATCATCAGAAATTTAAATATATTTAGACTTCTGCAGTAACAACAGTACTACATGCTAAACTTAGAGTTTACCTAAAGCATTACTGTGTTAGTGGGAAATGTATATTTTTATATGTTTCTATTATATAAGTAAAAAATAGAAAAGTAACAGTAGAACAATAATAGTAGAACAAACTCAAAGTTTTAAGGGAGGAAATAATAATAAAAGCACAGAATAATGAGATAGAAAAGAAACATACATTTAAAAAATCAACAGACCCAAATTTCATTCTTTTAAAAGATTAATACTACTAACAAATCTTTGGCAAGATTGATCAAGAAAGAATAACAGAAGGCATAATATTAGGACTGAAAAATAGTATAAAACTGCAGGTGCCACATGGATTAAAAAGATAGAAAATAGTTAAAACAACTTCATGTTAATGATTTTTCAAACTCAGAAAAACAGACAAGTTCCTAGAAAAATCATCAACTGACTCAAGAAGAAATTAAAAATTTGAGTAGTCCTATAACCATTAAAGAAACTGAATTGACAGTTTAAAATCCTGCCACAAAGCAAACACCAAATCCAGGTAGTTTTACTAATAACTTCTACCAACCATTTCAGTAACAAATAACTCCAACATTACACAAACTCAAACATTCCCCAATTTATTTTATGAGGCAAGTATAAAATTAATAGCAAAACTGACAAGAATAGTACACACACACAAAAATGAGACAATTTCACTGAAAAACATAGGTGCAAAACTGTTTTTAAAAATTAGCAAAGTGCCCTTGCCAGTGTAGTTCAGTTGGTGGGAGCCTGGTCCTGTAAACCAAAAGTCACAGGTTTGATTCCCAGTCAGGGCACATGCCTGGGCTGTGGATTGGGTCCCTAGCTGGGATGCATACAAGAGACATCCAATCAACATTTCTCCTTCACATCAATGTTTCTCTCCCTCTTCCCTCCCTTCCTCTCTCTCTAAAAATCAATAAACACGTCTTTGGGTGAGGATAAAAATAATTAGCAAACTAATTTCAGCAATGTATAAAAGAATCATGACCAACTTGGGTTTATCACAGGGGCACAAGATTGTCTTAATGTTAGAAAGCTCACACAGATTAAAAGAGAAAACCCCCATGTTTATCTCAGTAAGTAAAAAAATTTTGATAAACTTGGATATCCATTCATAATAAAAATAAATATGAAAGTAAATCCTAAGAAAGCTACAGTAGAATGTTTTAACTTCCTAAAGCATATCTATAGAAAATTGACAGCAAAAAAGTAGTGGTGAAACACTGAATGTTTTTCCTTTGAGACCAAAAGAGAAAAAAAAGAGTGCCTGCTTCTAACAGTCTCATCACTATTGCATTGAATGAAAGAGAAGAGAAACAAAGGCATAAGGACTGGAAAGAAGAAACAAAATATGCATTATTCATATATGTTATTAGCTACATAGAAAACACAAAAATCTACAGAGAAATTATTAGTTTTAGTAAGAGAGTTTAGCAAGGTTGCTAAATAAAAAATCAATATACAAAAGTCAACAAATTTCTACAATCAGCAACAAATTTAAAAAGTAATTTTTAAAAAGATAAGTATGCCAAAAGTATAAACTGAAATACATAAATCTAACAAAAGCTATTAAGCAGTTTTCTTATGTAGAAAATTGTAAAACTATTTTGAAAAACATTAAAGAAGATCTAAATAAATGGGGAGACTCATGGAAACCTTTTACTTTTAATACATTTTGCTTCTAAAATATTCAATAGTAACTTTTTGGAAACATGTATAAAACAAGTTTAATTTTTCATGTTTTTATTATATTCATTCATACATGGCTGGCCCGTCTGCAGAGCAGCCAGAGAGAAACAAGTAGGATGAAACTCAGGCATGTTTACTATGTTGCCAGTCTCGGCACTAGGAGTCCCAGAGCTGCACGCTCAGTCACACATGCACTTCAATCTGGTCGTTGGGAGGGTGTGTTTGTCAAGGTGGGGGACAGAACACGGTTCACACCTTGGTCCTTGATTCGTAACTTTAACTATGTCGACTGGTAAATGGGGCTCCTCTGTGTTTCTGTCACAAGTTCCCCCAGCGTGGGGCAGGCGTAAGGAGAGGCACTGTGGTGGTCCTGGCTGTGGGCAGGGAACCCATCTGGGGCTCCAGAGGACTCTCGCAGAGGGTGCCAGCCAGGTGAGTCAGGAGGTCCTGTTTGGGTCCTGTCAGCCCATCCCCATAAAGCCAGTTCCTGGGAAGAAGGTGTTGGCCCTCAAGGGTAAACCCACTCAAGCCACCACAACAGAAACTAAAGCATTGCAGGTTTCTCACCTGTGGCTACCTGTGTTGAGTCCAGGCTGGAAGACAGGTATGTTCGAGAGGAGGTTCTAGAGAGGAGGCTGGGGGTCACGAAAGAGAAAGAAAAGTCATTGTTCCTTGCTACCTGTGCATGAGCAAAGTCTGAGATACAGTCAACAAACACTTCCAGAGTGCTAATCATCACCATCATCATCATCACCACCACCATCATCACCACCACCATCATCATCACCACCATCATCATCATCATCATCATCATCATCATCATCATCAAAACCAGTAGGCACTGAAGTCCCAGGTCTGGTGAGGTGATTTTTACATATAACCACACACAATACATGTTACACACAATAGCCATATGAATGCCTATTGTTTTCTCAACTTTACAGATGAGGAAACTGAGGCTTAATGTTAGGCAACTTGTCCAGAGTCATACGGTTTGTACAGGACAGAGCCAGGGTTCGAATCGAGAATAACTGGGGTTTATCTGATCTACGCATTGGACTGTGTGCCGGGGTCTAAGCTACAGAAGTGAGTCCGTCATAGTCCTTACCTGCAAGGACATCATGGTCTAGTGGGAAAGTCAAATATGCATGTGGGTGTGTTTGGACACCAGATAATCAAGAAGGACATCTAGATGAAGCGAAGTTAATGGGCTGGGAATGACAGGGTATGTTACTGGAGGACAGTGGGGGGCCTGTCAGACTTAGAAAAGGTTCCTATAGAAACAGAGTAGGTGAGTGGTAACCAAGTAAGGACTGGAATACTAACTGAAGTCTTACTGGATTGTGGAAGACTTCTAATGTCTAGCATAAGAGTTGGGACTTTATCACCCAGTTAATGTTAAGATGTAAAAGTGAGGTGAAAACTACACTTGTCTCCTCTTGTTGGCAGTTGGGGGGGGATGGACTGGCAGGGTGACCTTTGGCCCAGTGGGGAAGGCCCTGGCAGATGGCGATGGGGCCTTAAGGCAGGGTGTTGTTAGCAGTGAGATAAGGAGAAAGGAATGGTTACAATGAGCTTGGGGGGGGAGTGGATAGGGCTTGCAGCTACTTGGCTGTCCAAGGGCACATAGCTAAGATAAAGGCTAGGAATAATGCTAGGGGACCTACCACCAGGAACACTATTACGGTAGCTTTAAAAAATGATAGTTATGAACACCACAAGCAATACGGAGAAATGCTTTTGATACAATGATAAGTGGAAAGGACAGAATTTTTAAAAAATCATATGTACCTGTAATTACAAATATCTTTTTAAAGCACAAAGAAAAATAAACTGAAACAAATTAAATTAATCATTCTACCCCAAAGACTTATTTCTACTTGGTTAGCATTATGGAGTGAATTGTAATTACCCCACACATACCTAGAATTTGTATGTTGAGGCCCTAACTTGAGATATAATCGTATTTGGAGATAGGACCTTTAAGAAGATCATCACAGTTACCTTAAATCAAGTCATAGGGCAGGGCCCTAATCCAATAGTCATTACACTCACACAAAGGAAAGGCCATGTGAGCACGCAGTGAGAGGGCCCCATTTCCAAGCTAAGGAGCAGGGCCTCCTAGAACCAATGTTGCTGGCACCTTGGACTTTCAGATTCCAGAACTGTGAGAAAATAAGTTCTAAACCACCCCATCTGTGGTGTTTTGTAATGGCAGCCTGAGCAGACTAATACAGTTAGCCAGTCAGCCACTGAGTCCTGTGGATTCTTCCTTTGCAATCCTCCTTCAGCTACTGCCCCATTCTTACCTTTCCCGCTGCCGACATGGCTCAGGGTCACCTTGTACCCAGGTGAATGCAGAAAGTCTCCCTATCTTCTCTGGTTTTGTACTTGCTGACTAGCTTCTCATATTCCCAGCCACCAGTTCTTACCTTGCTCCATGCTATCATCTCGAGTATCTGGGGTGTTTAAATCTGACAACTGGTATTTTCCTCTAGCACCAGCCCTCAGCTCCCCCTTTCTAGAACTCTCTGGACTCACCTCTCAGATGTCAGCTGTCTGGCCTCTCCAGGTGAACTACAGTTTTTCTGTTAGAACTGCAGGAAGAAAGACAGTTCAGACAAGCACTCCAACGGCTGGCGTGAAGACAGCCTTTCCCCTCTCTGGCCTCATCTCTGTGTGTCTCCCCTTAGGTCCACACTCCCAGGGTTCTGTTGCAGACAGCATTTTCCACATGGGGGAAAAAGAACTACTAGCAGTCTTCAGCCTAAATCATCCCAGTTTACCAGACTTCATGGGTAAACAAAGTTTCTTCCTCCAGCGTCCATATGTCAAATTCCAGGAAGGACAATCACTGGTCCTTCTTGGGTCAAGTGCCTACTCATAAGTCAGTCACTTTGGCCAAGAGGAAAGGGGATTCTATAAGGCCAGGGCTGGGTCACTGCACAATAGTTCTCAAGAGCGAAAGAAGCCCCTGTTTTACCAGAAGAGGAAGAAGCTGTTGAGCAGATAAAAATGAACGTCTCCTCTCCCAGAGGACACCTGCTCTGATGCAGCCCAACACACAAGACGCCTTCCCCCCAGTCACCCTCACTGACTTGCCGCACGCCAGCTGGAGTGAAGGGGACGGTGCCTCCCTAGACAGAGCCCGACGTCCTGGGCTGCCCCGCACCGCCAGGGCCTCCGGTAATCCATCCCAATCTGTGATCCGGCAGAGACGCATCTGAGCACTTCTTGGAACAACAGCAAGGTTTTTCCTCTACAATGATTCACACAAACTTGGCCATGGGGTTTGACAGAGAAAGGAAAATAGACGTTGACATCTCTGATGCAGAACTCCGAGTACTTCCAGAACAAAGCCGAGCCTCAGTTTGACAGGAAGGATTTGGTTTGCCGTACAAACAGGGGAAGTCTCCTGGCTGTAAAGGTCAGGCTAACACGGGAGCAGAGCACAAAACGTATCTGCAGCACTTGAAGCCTGGGAGATCCTGGCAGCGCGGTCGGCCAGGGCTGGCAGCGGGGAAGAGCGCAGGGCACACGGGCACGTTGCTGGTGGGGCTGTGAATGAGCACAGCCCTTCCCAGAACAATTTGGCAGCCGTGTCTTTAAAATGCCAATACCCTTTGACCCACAAAGCTCATTTCCAAGAATCTACTCCAAGAAAACAGAACAGAATGCTGAAGATGTTCACTGTGGTATTATTTGTAACAGCAAAAGTTTAAAGACAACACAGAAATGGTTAGGTGCATTATGGTAAATCCTCTCCATGGGGCAGTTTTCAGCAATTAAAAATAATGTCTAGTGAGTTCCCAGAACACAGATATAAGCAGCTTTGAAAGGTTATTCAGCCTTTCTTAAAAGAAAAAATTTATACTACAACAAAATTGAAACACTGTTTTAACCTTTCTGTTTGTCAAGGGTCAAAGACATCGGTAATCCTCAGGGTTGGCGATGGCATGGGGAAGTGGGTACTTTTACATGTTACTGAGTTTAAATCAGTACAGCTCCTGTGGAAGGCAATCTGATGGCATCTATCAAAATTTAAAGTGTGCATTTTTAAACAGCATCTGTGGACCTAGTCAAATTTCACTGCCAGGAATTTATCCTACAGATATTACTCACATGTGTGCGTGAAGGGCAAACCTGTTGCTTGACACATTGTCCATAGGATCAAAAAAAGAAATCATCTTCCATAGGAGACTGGAAAATACATTATGGAACATGCATACAATACATACTATTAGCTGTTAAAAAGAAAGACTATGTCAAAACCATATGTGCTTTTGTGGGATGATTTCCAAGATGTAGTAAGTGAAAAAGACAAGAAAGCAAGGTGCAAATCAGTATGTCTGGTATTCCATAATTGGTATAGAAAAGCTTTTCTATGTTAAATATGTACAGAACTTCTCTGTATACATAAAAAAGTAACAACAATGATTCTTCTGGGGAGGATGACTGAGGTCAAGGGTTGGAACACTACCCTTCATTGTATATGCTGCACTATTTGAATTTTTTTAAATCATGAGTATGTATTTTCTTTTAAAAAAAAAGCCAATAAGCTCTGGCCAGGTGGCTCAGTTGGTCGGAGCACCTTCCTGTGCACCAAAAGGTTGAGGCTACAATCCCCAGTTGGGGCACATACTGGAAGCAACCAACCTATGCCTCTCTCTCTCTGCCCCCACCCCCGCCTTCCCCTTCCTCTCTCTCTCCTCCCCTTCCTCTCTCTCAAAAATCTATGAACACATCCTCAGGTCAGGATTTTTTTTAAGCCAATAAAAATAAAACAAATGTACTATAAAAAGGATGTCTATATGTAGTTACAGTTATATAAAGACCTACATTATACTCATAAGAATATATAACTTAAAAGTTGTTCATATAGTATATCCACAATTAAATAAAAGGAGAAAAATGTTTACAGGGAAAAACTGAAAAGTATACTAAAATGTTAACCTTGGGGCTAGGAGTGATTTTTCTTTCAACTTTTTCTGTAGTTTCCAAAATGTCTTTAATAATTATATTTTACTCTTATGATATAAAAATAAACTTTTGGTAGAACAAAAACTAAAAACTATGTTAAATTAAAATACATGCAGAAGGTAAAATCGAAGGAGACAAGAAGTTAACACACCACTCAAGTTCTTTTCAGCTCCATGATTCTGCACTAACGAAGTTTGTTATGGTTTCTTAACTCCTTTTTACTTTTTCCGGCTTGGCAACCGCTGCCGATACAGATGAGGCCCAGTCCATAAATCCGCCAAAAGAAAACTGTATTTATAATACCCAATACCAATGAATATGCAGTTGGATGAGCTTTATCAGACATTATTGCACTGCAAATTGATACCACCTTTTTGGAAAGCAATTTGGCTATATAAATCTGAAGCTGTAAAAAGTGTTTATGCCCTGTGACCCAGTTATTTGCCTCTGGAATCCTAAGGGGAAAACCTGAAATACTGGAGGACTTTCTGCATAAAGGTCTTAATTAAGAGTGGTATGCGGCCATAAAAAAACTACGATTACAAATTGCACATAGCGACACGGGAAAACGTTTACGACACCGTGCTAAATAAAGGAGAAGGAACACAGAGACACGTGTGCCCTACGATGACAACCGCTCGATGCGACACTGTGAGAAGCCCTGGAAGGAAGGACGCCGGCATGTCCACGGCGCTTGTGTCCAAGCAGGGGGGTCTTGGGGGAGTTTTTGGTGTGTCTTTTTTTCTCCTTTTCTCTTTTCCAAAATATATACGATATTTTCTTTTTGGAAATAATATGTTTTTAAATACTTGAAAATCTGAAGTCTGGGCTGTTTCACAGGAAATGATTACTCTCAGTGCCGGGCCGCCTGTATTCACCTGCGGTGAAACGGTCCCCTGCCTCTCGTATAAGAACAGCCCCTGACAGTCCCTGGGCAGCCACTCTCTGCCAAGCTCTTCACGTGTTTTCCTTCAATGAATCCAGTGAAGTAGAGAGTCCTCTTACCACTGTGCGGATGAGAAAACTGAGGCTCAGACGGGCTAAATGGCCCAGCCAAGAGGTGACAGCCTCAAAGCTCAAACCCAGGTCCCTCTAGCCAAACCCAGTTCTTCCCACCGTATCACAGTAACTTCCCATGACACGGAAAACTCAGACACTTGGGGACTGGGACGCTGGGCAGCATTTCTGGCACTGCCACTGTCAAAAAAGAAGTGACTGGCAGGAAGGAGAATGCCATAGGAAGTGGGCTCCCAGAACGGCCGTGGCCGGGTGGGGCTGGTTCTGTGCGTTCCCACACACCTGAGGCCCCGGGCTAGATGAGCTGGCCGGCCCTACGCACGGAGACGTTCGTGCGGCCTGGCCTGTGGCCAGCACAGATGTCACATCCTCCTGCCAGCGCTGACGGTGCTGGCGTTAACCTGCCAAAAGGCCTTTAGAAAAGCTATTAAAGCTCTCTTTAAAGATTCCTGGTTCAGGGAGGTGTGGGGAAACAACACTGCCTCCTCTATGGTAGAAAATTCCAATGCCACCTGGCTTGGCAGAAGAAAGTGACATCTAACCCACCTTGGCCCCCAAAGCCACAGAGCCCTCCTGGGACCCAGACCTGGCTAAGGCTGAAGCTCTGTGCGGAGAGCTCCCACAGGCTGAGCCAATGATACAAGCAAGGGGAAGCAGGAAGTCCAGGTCGGCCGGGGGGTGACCAGGCTGAAGACACTCAGGTCAGAGGCCAAGTGAGACCTGAGTATAGCCATGGAGCCTCTGAGATGTGCACCTGGCTGAGTGGGAGACAAACCAACACCAAAGACAGCTTAGGAGAGGATGCGTCAGGGCCCCTCATATACTGTTGATGGGAGCATGAATGGACCCAAGCCCTCAGAAAATACTTTGGCATTTCCTAGTGCATCCGGCAATTCTACTCATCGTAACTTTACCTACAGAAACCATCCCACCACACAGGCCCCAGAATGTTCGTAACAGCACTGTTCATAAACACAAGAACCTCAAATAGCCCAAATGCCCGTGGACGTGAGAATGGACTAGAAAAATATGTAGTCATACAATAGAATACTATCTAGCCATGGCACTATATAAGCTATAACTTCTTGACGAATCCCATAAACACGATGTTGAATGAATCAAGGGGCTGATGAGGAACATGTGCCTGTGTGGTGAAAGTGTACACGCAAAAGATGAGAAACACAAAATCCCGGATGAGGATCATGTGAAGGGGCAAGGGTGGGGTTGGAAGGGAGCACAGAGGTGGGTTAGAAAGCACTGAAAACAAACACTGTGTTTGTTCAGTTCAGTTCTGGGTCCAAGGGGTTTGTTTTTATTATGACTGTTTACACTGACCCCATATATTATATACGCTCATGTGTATACATAAAATATTTCAAATTTTTAAAAACACTTAAGAAAGATCTTAGTGGGGAGCTGCGGCTTGTTCAGCGAAGGTGGCCCAGCACCTGCCCAGCCCCGACCAGGCCCCACTAACTGCGCAGGCCTGAAGGAGAGGGCAGGGGCACAGGCCCCGGCTGGCCCAGAGAGAGGGAGTGAGGGGGAGGAAGTACAGTCTGAAGTCAGAAGGAGAGCTCAGATCCCATCTTTGCCTTTGGCCGACTGCACGACCCTGGGCCTGGGTGAGGAAATTAAAATTCTCTGAGATCAACCGGCATCTGTAAGATGAGCATAAATTAAGCCTCTAGGCTTTCACCACTGAATCTTGGGCATCTGGCATCTTGTTTGGAATACAGTGATAAATAAACACCAAAGACCCAATCTTGTCATAAGAAAAACATCAGATAAATACTGATAGGGGGCCATCCTACATACCTGACCAGTAAATAACTCTTCTCAGAACTGCCAAGGTCAATCAAAAAAAAGAAAGAAAAAGAAGGAAGGAAGGAAGGAAGGAAGGAAAGAAGGAAGGAAGGAAGGAAGGAAGGAAGGAAGGAAGGAAGGAAGGAAGGAAGGAAGGAAGGAAGGAAGGAAAAGAAAGATCACAAAAGGACAAATACTGCCCACTTCTGCTTACTGAGGAACCGAGAACAGTCAGAGTCACAGAGAAAGTGGAGTGGAGGTTAGCAAAGAGCTGGGAGGGGGGGAAGGGGGACTGGCCCTTCAGCGGGAGCTGAGTTCCAGTCTGAACTGGCAAAAAATTTCTGAAGACGAACGATGGTGGTGGTACAGCGGTGTGAATGCACTCAATGCCACTGAACTGCATGCTAAAAATGGTTGAAATGGTAAATGTTATGTATGTTTTACCATGATTTTTAAAAATCTAACACAAAATATAAATATATGAAAAACCAGAAAAGTCTAAAAACTGCCACAGCAGCCAAGAAGAGCCTAAAAAGACAGGACGATTAGATGTAATATGGTATCCTGGACGGGACCCTGGAGCAGAAAAAGACACTAAGACTAAGGAAATCTAAATAAACCATAGACCAGGGGTGTCGAACTCATTTTCACTAAGGGCCACATTAGCCTCGTGCTTGCTTTCAAAGAGCCAAATGTAATTTCAACTCCTTAACTG